ATAATAATAATAATAATAATAATAATAATAATAATAATAATAATAATTTTAAACACCTCTATGATGTCTACCTTGTCTCCCTTTTTCTAAGCTAAACAATCCCAGTTGCTGTAACTGTTTCTAATAAATGCAACTCCACAATCATTTCAGTCGCATTTCTCTGTATTTGTTCCAACTCAATAATATCCTTTTTCAGGTATGGTGACCAAAACTGGATACAATATTCTACTTACAGTCGCACCAAAGATTTGTATAGGTAGAGTGTGATCTTGGTACTTTTATATGCAACACAGAGTTTGCCTTTTTCACAGCAGCATCACACTGGGTTGGCTTTTTCATCAAACTGTCCACCGCCACCATCTCAGGATCTGATTTTTTGATCAGGCACTCCTAAATTCGAATTTATCGGCCTATACTTGAAGTTGGGGTTGTTGACCTCGACATGTATTTCTCGGGGGTTTGGTTCAGTTCATTTGGACCTTGCTCATTACCCCATGTAGCAAGATCCATGATCTTATTGTGCTCCCACCTCATGCCACCCACACTGAGTAGCCACTTGCAAAGGGATGATCGGAAGAAAAAAGGGGGATGTGAATGTATCTTTAAACATGGAACTATGCAACTTAAGCAGCAACAAAAACACTGTGATAAAAATCCTGAAAAAAGTTTGAAAATGTCATTAGAAGTTGGGGACTCAAGAGAGCAGAGCAGGGCAGGGAAGCTTATTCTGTCTAAAGGCTGATCGGGACAAGGTCTCAGGGGCCAGGTCTCTTCTCTGGGTGGAATCAAAGGCAGAATGGGTGGGACCAAAGTATGGTTCCTACCAAAATGAAGCCTAGTCAGAAGTAAACAGGACATGACTCAGCATGTCCATTCAGAAGTAGGGAGGCCAGAATAACTCAGAAGATTCAATTTTGGTCTGTCCACGCAGGGCTAAAAGAGGCTCCTCAGTGATGCTGCAGGGTCCGGGGCTCACCAGGATGCAGGACTGCAGGCCGACATATATGTCACTCTGCTCTTCCCCTCCCCTCTGCCCCTGCAACAATTCTGTGTGTCCTCGAAGTTTATAAGTTTAGCAGCAATCTTCATAATAACTGGGGGAGAAGGGGAAGAGGTAGGAATTTTCCCATTAACAATGTTGAACTGCAAAGTATTTTGGGGTGGAGGGTGGCTTGGTTTTGAATGGACAATTAAGGCCAATTAGTTTCACAAAAGTGTTGCTCTGGTGGAGATGAGAGCGGCTCCAGCTGGTTTGTTGCTAAGGTCTGAGGCAGCAGCCTGAATTTTGGACTCTTCTGAGGAGCACAGTGACTGGCATGAGGAGCGCCTGCACTTCAAAATGTACACCTGCTCCTTGAGGTACTCTGGAAGGTGCCTCCATCCCAATTTTAGGGATTCCTGCCTTCTTCCTGAAGCACAGCTCATTCCCTTCAGCACCCCTGCCCCACTGAACCATTTTCAGAGGGCTGCAAGGGGCACTACACAGAGGAGGCAGCCAGGAAGTGTTTTCATTTGGGTGAGTGGCATATGCTCAACTCCAGATCCAATCCATTATTTGAATATTTATTTCTAAGAGGCATTACTCTCCTGGCAACTAATAGTTCTCAGTGATATAAAATAAAAACAAGATGATCCTAGTTCATATAAATCAAAGAAAAAACAGCAGAATAAAACAAGTCTGAAATCTCACGCATGAACACCTGGGAGTACCCAACGGGGCTTGGTCCTGAGTAGAGAAGCATAGCATAGCATTGTAATGACACTATTCAGTTACAAAGATTTAACAGTATGCTAGAAATAAAGCTACTTCAAAACACAATGCATGAAATGGCCCTTGCCTAGTGCTAAAAGCCATGCCGGTGCCCAGGGGGCCTCTCTGGGGAGGTATTCCAGGGGGCTCCCTAGAAAACTAGGACATTCAGAGCTGGGCCCCTGACACAAGACTTGGACAGGAATGTATGGGCAGGTTGTTCCTTCATATACTTTATCCCCAAGCCATGAAAGCTACCAAATGCAATGTGTAGTTAGCTCATAGGATTCTCTGAGAGACAATGATAGCTATTTGCAGATTGCCTTTAAAGGAAATGAGGCAAATTTATGTGAAGAGAGATCTATCAGCAGAGAAAGGCCAAGGTAGTGAAATGAAACCTCCCATATTTAGCGTCAACATGGTACTGAATACCAGCTGCTGGGGACAATGAGGAAGGATTCTTGCCTTCATGTTTGTGGTCTTTTCCTAGAAGTGTCTGGTTGCAAATAAGAGCACAGCAGGAACAGGTGGGCCTTTAGCTGAATAGAATTTTATTTTTATGAGGGCATGTACCAGGGGAAGCCATATCGGGGAACGCTCTTGGGAATGTTCCCAGTGATATGCAAATTACAGGTCCACGGCCCCACTAAATTTCATGGTGTCTCCCTCCTTAGCTACTTTGGGTTGGATCCAGACAAATCTATACTTAGAGTAGACCCAATAGAATCAACGGCTTGGGACCAGGATACCCGAAGGAACATCTCCTCCCCATACGCCCTCACACCCCTTAAGATTGGCAGGGGAGGCCTTGCTCCGGGAACCCTCTTTGAAGGAGGTACGGAGGGTTTCCACCTGGAGGAGGGCCTTCTCTGCAGTGGCACCCAGACTATGGAATACAATCCCCAGAGAGGTCCTCCTGGCACCAACTCTCTATTCTTTCCGACACCAGGTAAAGACCTTTTTATTTAACCACCATTTTCATAATTAATATTATTAATTTTAATAATATTAATTTTATACAGTCAGGGATAGGCAAGGTCAGGTACTTGCCAAGGGATCAAGCTGAGTCCTCTGGACTTGCTTCTCTGCATCCCCCAAAAACCTAAGTTTTATTTAAACAGAGCCTGTGTCTCCTGCACTCTTCTACACAAAGCATTCATTGCATGCTTGTGATTCTGCACTCAGGTTAGTTTGTAGGGGCTTTGCGTACCCTCCTCCTCCTGGACCCGTCCCATATTTTGCATCCACTTTTGCAGCTTGTTTACAGTGAGGAATGTCAAGCATTATTTCTTAATTTTGAGGTAAAGCTACTATGGGAAGTCTATGTATTTTGGTAACTCTGCTACACCTCCTCCTGTTTACTTAATGGCATGAACAGAAGAGCAGGAGAAGAAAAACTCGGGTGGGGGGAAGCATATAAAAGACCAATCAGATTCTCTCAAAGAAAACCGAAGCAGCCGTCTCTACAGAGTTGCAGTTTAAAAGCCTCCTGTAGGGAAGCCACTTCCATGTCCAGCTCACCCCCGTCCCACCACAACCCTAACCCTCATCCAGCACTTAGGCCTCATTCAGGTTATCGTGCTGCTTGAATCCAGCCCCTGTTCCAACTGAGAAGGCGGCACGCCGGGCGCTCTCCAAAGCCAGAGTCACCACAGTTAAGCGGCTAGAGCGAGTAAGGAGCGCCTCCTCCAAGCCGTTCCCAGGCACTCATTTTGTGCAGAATCATCGCCGTGGCTCGTTGTCGCCCGTGGCGTCCAAAACAGCCGAGTTACTCTCAGGCAGAGAGCGTGCGGACGACCGCAGCAACCCGCAAGCGAGGCGGCGGGGCAGGGCGCGGGAGAAGCAGCGCGCTGCGCACGCGCCTCGCGAGAGCCCGGCCGCTCTCCCCGCCACGAGGGGGCCTTCGCATCTGCTCGGGCCGGGCTCCTCCCTTGCTTCAGCACGTGTTCCTACATGGCCGCCTGCACCAGCCGCATTAGGCCGGAGGGACGCGGTGCCTTTGCTGGGGTGAGCGGAGCGGAGCGGGCCGGCTGGCAGCGGCGGCGCCTCTGGGGTGGGGAAAAGGGATCCATCGGGGAGAAGGAGTCGGGAGGCATCACCGAGGAAGAGGCGAAAGAGAGAGAGGGGGGAAAGGGGGACTATGGGGGAGGGGTAACGCTTGTTTGCAGCCTTCTCCAACAGGGCGCCCCCCGAATGTGTTGGGCTGTAGCTCCTAGCATGTCTACTAACTACCGCTCCGAGTAGTCCACCACATCCGGAGGGCGCGCGGTTGAGGAAGGCTGATTTAGGGAGCCCCTTTGAAGTGCGGCACTTCTCAACCCAAAGAAGCAGAGGATAGCGGGGGCAGAAATAGAGATGACGTAGAGGGGCTGTAGTTGGGGAGCGGGCCGGTCGAAAACTTGGCGTGAGAGCGAGGAAGACAGTGGAGCTGCCAGCTCTTGAATTGTTAGGGAGATGTTTAGACCCTGTGCTAGTCAGATGCTGAAGCGCTGGACCCAGAAGAGGCAGAGTGCGCATGTGTGCGCAGCGTGGAGGCTGTGGTGTCGCGCTAGGAGTTGTGATTTAGCCGCTCAGGTGGCCTTTGACTCTTGGAGGAGAGACCCTGTCGCCTGCCTCCAGCTGGTGAAGTTTGTTCCATTCCTCTCAGCCAGAAAGTCCCATTTCACGCGACCGCTCTGAACACGCGCGTGTTCATGTGCGCGCGTGCGTCTGTGTGCGAGCGAGCGAGCGGCCGCGCGGGGAAGCTTGCCTAAGACCACTCCGTGTGCTTTTGGCAGAGGCAAAATTCAGACTGGGTCTCCCCGATTAGTAGTCCAGGCTCTTGGCCGCTGTGCTTTGCCCCCAGAAGAGGGGCCAGGGAGGTTGCAATCCTGTCAGCTTTTGGAATTAGAAGTTGGAAAAGGACACTCGACATAACTTGGAATGAGGACCAGAAGATGGGACAACTTGTTTTTCGATAGTAAGAGAATACAGGGTTTGACATGTTTTGTTTAGTATGCTTTTCTCCTGACTTTTCTTTGAGGAACTCAGAATCTTGCAAGGTAGATTAATTGGACTGGGAGTCAGTGACTGATCCAAGGCCAACGGTAGGAATTTAAACCGGCCTTTCAGGTCCTAGCCTGACAGTCTAACAACTTGCAGTCCACACATACCTGTTAGTGTAGACTGAAATGGTGCCTGTTTTTCCTTTGATTGAGGTACAAAGCTGTCCTCAGATCAGATATTAAAACTCTCTCTCTCTTGCACGCATGCAATAAGTGACTCCTTAAGGATTTACTGGTCTTCTCTGCAGAGTTTGCAGTCATCAGTGTGGACAACTACAATCCATATTGGACATCTCAGCCTATGTTGTGTTTAGAGTGTCAGCCTTGGATTTTGAAGTACTGCAGTTCAAATTTCTGCTGAGCTCTGATGTTTGCTAGGTGATCATGGACCTGTCAAATCCCCTTTAGCCTCTCACGAGATTATGGTGTGGATGAATTGCGGGGAGGTCAGCCATGCATTCCTGAGCTCATTGGAGGAAGGATGAGTGTATATGTAATGCATTAATAAGTATTCCCAGAAAAAGTGAGGAAGATACCTACCTTTCTTTTCTATTGTTGTCTGCCTTGATTATAAACCCATCAAGGTGATTGAATGATGTAAAGAGATCCTTACTGATGAGTTTAGGATGGGTTCATTTTGTATGTGGCCCCAGACTGTATGTTTTCTGAAACAATAGTTCTGAGTTTGTAACGTTTTGATTCTTCTATATTCCTTGCAGACTTGTCTGACTACTTTGGAGGAAGGACTCTCTTGCAAGCCAGTCCCCCAGTGAAGAAAGTCCCCAAAATCTTGGTAAGACCTTCAACTGATCAGCTGGCATATAGTGGGGGCGGGGGGGGGGGAGTTAGCTGGAAGACCTGGATTCTCTGAGCAATGTCAGATTAGAAGACAAGCCTTTTAGATATGTTAAGACGCAATCCTGTGCAAGTTGTGTTTGCTCAACTAATGTCTAATTAGGCCTCTGAGCCACTGAAAGAGTCCAGTCCTTTCCTAGAGAAAAGGATGGTGGGGCCTGTTGGTTGGCCCCACTGTGGGCAAGCCTCTGTAGGCATTTTTGACAATTCAGTGTCAAAGAACCTCCAGTTTTTCTCCTGACTTGGGTGCTGGGGAGGGAAACAGGATTACCATTGCAGCCGCATCTTCCAGGGTGGGAGGAAGTCGGGTGTTGTCATGGGGACAGCAGCACAGAGGTGAGAAAAAAGGCAGACATCTGAATTGTATATCTTTGCAAATTGTATATCTTTGGGGGAATTGTAGCACGTCAGGTCTTTTTTTCAGCCAGTGTGGTCAGTGGTCAATGTGATGGGAGTTCTAGTAGTATAACATCTGGGTTCTCACCCCTGCTATATATGAATGGCAGACTCATTTTATGAGAGCTAATCCACAATAGGAAGATTCCTGCAGGCTGCAGGAAGACCAAAGATTTACAGACGTACAAATAAATCTTTAGAAACACACTCCCAGTAACAGTCCACTGAGTGTACTGTTACTGGTTAACTTACTGGTTAACCAGTAACTGGTTAACCAGTAACCATAACTTACTGGTTATGGGAAGCTGGCTGCAAGTTTGGGAGAGGGAAATGGGAATGGAGTATTCTGAAAGAAGGTACAGCAACCTAGAACCCTGGACAGGAGCGCTCCGTGCTGCAGTGCTTCATTTAAACAAGATGTTTTGTTGAACCATCATTTTAATAATTAAGGTTTTTGGATGTTTTAAGGTATTTTCTCCCCACACTCATATTTTCTAGTCTTTTCCTCCTTCTCTTTTCTCTTAGTTTTATGATGTGCTGTATTATATTGTTCTAATAATTGTTGTTTTTATTGTACTGTTGTAATATTTTCCACTGTGTAAGCCGTTCTGAGCACTTGTCGGAAGGATGGGATATAAATTTTTGTAATAATAAATTTATGAGTCTCAGTTATAAACAGAACACAGATGCATACCCAAAAGAGGAAGGGGTAACCAAGACACACCTGGGCTTTCTGCATAAGAGTCTGGACAGACTTAGGGAGGTTGGCTGACTCTTGGGTTCTCCCACACACTCATCCCTCTTTTCTGCTTTCCTTTTGAAGTTTCGTGAGTTGCCTCCTGACTGGATTGCGGTTCCCAGCCATGGCTGAAGGGGGTGCTGGTGGAAACCAGCCGCCACGTGAACATCCCCACAACCTCCAGGGCTTGCTGCAGATGGCGGTCACCGCAGGAAACGCTGAACCTGCTCCGGTGGAGCCCATGTCTGATGAGGTGCGCAGCTTGGCTCACTGGCAGAGGGGAGGAGTGTGGTCCCTTGGCTGGACTTAGGGAATGAGATGCATCGTTGGAAACATCTGCTTTTTACTGGGCGACAAAGTTGTAGGCTCACTGGGTATACACAGGACGGATTGGAGGTGCTGAGTACCAAGACCTTCTAGTCAAGGAGAGGGGCATGCAGAAGAAGTAGACAAGGAGGTTCCCATCATTCCCTTTGTCATAAGCATTATTGCTATGGTCTGTCCGATTCACAGAACTCTGCATCTTATGATAAAAATTACACAGATGTTCAAACAGAGGCAATTGATAAAGCCAATCTAAATTCAAAATTCACCGTTAATTTCCAATGTTCAGGCTGTGTGTTGTTTATGTTGTCAAACCAGAAATAGCAATGTACAAGAGTAAGGTATTGACATGTTAGGTACATCCCAAAAATATGTAAAAACACAGCATAATTAAGAAAAAATCTAAGTGTCGGGGAGCTTCCCAAACAGCTAAATGTGCAGTCATTATGAAATGCTGACTGATATGGGGGGGGGTGTTTGAGGGGGGGTGGGAAACCAGGGAGGGAATGGAGAGGCTGGAATCTTAGTAGCACCTTCACATGGTAGTATCTTGTTGCAGGTCTCACACTTGTGTAAAGATTAATATTAAATTTTTCAAAAAGTTTCCTATCCCAACTTTAAAGGTAGTCAATGAGGAATTTTTTTAATGTCCTACAATTCACTTCACATGAAAATGATAAAAAGGTTAATAGATTGTGCAATAATAAAATGGCCATACAAGTAGCAGTAGCTACAAAGGAGGTTCAAGTGTATAACCTTCTTCACCTAGTTCTGTAAAGCTGGTATGGGGAACCCAGCGGTATTTTTCTCCCAGCTTCTTTTTCTGGTCTCCTCACTTGATTGATTTTTATTACAGTACTTTCTGAAAAATGATTTGTAAGACATCCTGGGAAGTATAAGCTCAAAAGGCAGGATTGAAGTTCTTTATAAAAATACAAGTTTGTCTGTTTGCTCTGTCTAGTCCAGAGAAGGGGAAGTCCCCACTGCTGGCCTGTGAGAGTTACATATTAGGGTCTCTTCCGGGGCTGATGCAATGCCCTTCCCTTCTCAGTGCCAGAGGAAGGCTGCCTTTATTTATTTATTTTATTTTTATTACGTCATCCTGGCCTTGTGGAATATCCTGGGAATCAGTCGGAAACTTTCCCCACCTCTGATTCAGTTGACAGCAACTTTCCACACTTACAGATAGGAGGCTGTCTGGGCCTTATCTGGAGTTAGTGTAGATTGTATGACAAAGTGTGTTCTCTGCTATGGAGTCCCTCCGCTTCAAAACATGCTTGGGCTAAAATAGAGGTGGGCGGTGATGTTTTGGCTCACAACTGCCATAATCCTTCACCATTAGCTATGCCATTTGGGGCTGATGGGAGCTGTGACTCTTCAGAAGTTTTGGCCACCCCTTTGGTAAGAGCTTGCAAGAGAACCGTGTCAAGCATGTTGTTAATTGGGTGCTTTCTGACGCATTCTGGCAAAATGCCTACATTATTTGGAGGGAGTAGTGAGAGAGACTGACAGACAGAAGCAAGGAAAGGAGAAATTGTATCATGTAAGGACCTCTGGCGGGATTCAGTGTGTACCTGCAGAACGTTTTGTGCCCAGGAGCACTGCTGCTGATGGCCTACTTTTTTCTTTAAAAGTAAAAAGCAGCTGTTCTTTCCTGTGGGAAAGAATGCAGAGTCGTACTTGGGCAGACACCACGAGGGTGTGGACTGAATTTACTTGCTGCTTCTAGCAGTTGTTTAGAATCAAATCTGTTTCTTTTGGCATTGCTCCTTCTCTTCACCTGCATGGCTCAATCCTTGATTCTGTTTCTTGGTCTACCTCTGTGTTAGAATATTGGGAGCTGCCCATTACAAGTGTTACAACATGGAGGAGACAGTCCATTATATACTTAGAACATTTTGCTTTGCTGTTTTATTTCTGGTAGCAAGACTGCATGAGCACAATACCAAAAGTGCTTAACTTCACCCTGAATTTTTAAAGAGGGAAACAATACCTGTGGTCATATTAGCTTCTCATATTTTCAAAAGCAGAAATGGTTCAGATAACTTTCACATTATTTACCATTTCTAGTGAATGTTGAGACCATGGGTCATACCATCTGGGTCTGTTGGGAATTGAAATCTAAAAGATTCAGAGGGTATGAGGCTGAGGAAGGCTATGCTAGCCATTAGTTGGGAAAGCGCAAGCAATCCTAGAGGTTAGGTAAGGAGAAACATGCTTTAAAAAGAAAATACAAATCCAGGCACTTGAACCTAAATTAACCAAGCTGGGAATATTAGCTTTGAAGTGAAGCTTTTGGCTTTAAGATGACTTGTTTGTTTTAGTAGGTATTAATCTGGAGGGTGCTGCTTATTTCTTACTCTGTGGATTTAATTGACATGCTTTAATTGCATTTTAATTAATGGATTTTTGTTTTAAGTATAATTTTACTTGTATTTTTATTGTTAACTATATATTTTATATATAAACACACTAATGCATGCAGAAATGCTGCTGATTGTTTTAATGGCTGTCAACTTTCACTAATGTGTCTTAGTTTTTGGCCATGTGCAAAATTTATCTGGAATTGTCAGCGTTCAGCTTTGCGCTGGTCAGCATCTGGTAGGTTCTGGATGCTTGTCATAGTGCAACTCGCAAAGGGTTTTTTAAAACTGCACTTTATTACAGTCATTAACAATAAGTCCTTTGGCTGGTCACAAATGCGTATGTGGAGGGGAACTGAAACCGTATAATAAAAAAATACAGTACAAGCATAAAATTAAAAACGAGCTAAAATAGAATCAAAATAAAACCAGGAAGAATAATGCTTTAAAATGTAAAAGATTCAATTATAACTGAAAGTCCTTCCCCTGGAGCTGAAAAGTTCATGATGCACTTTTCAGCACCAAACACCAGTTGTCAGCAGCAGTTGGACATTCTCCAACCAGGATGCTACCACTGAAAAGGTGGTCTTCTTAGGAGTCTCCCATCATACCCCGCTTGGAAGATGTACCCAGAGAAGGGTCTCTGAAGGTGATTTAGGATCTAGCCAGGAAAACAGAAGAGATTCCAAACGATTTTATTTATTTAGCTATTTCATGGACATTTTCCCTTTTTTTCTCCTCTGATGGAACCAAGATGGCTTACATGGTGCTCCCTGCCTCTTTTGCCAGCCCAGCAGCCCTGTGAGGTAGGTCAGGCTGAAAGTCAGTAACTGGCCCAAAGTTACCTAATGAGATTCATGATCAAGGAGAGACTAGGCCTGGATCTCCCCAGTCCCAGCCTAACAGTCTAACTGCTGTACCACCCTAGCTCTCTTCTCAGGGCTTCAGACTTTGAATTGGGCCTGGAAAAAGACGGTAAGGAAGTGTTGATCCTAAAGCAGTGGAGTAATGCGATCGCATTGGCCAGGCCAGTTCTCGTTAACAATCCTGCTGTCCTATTTTGGAGCAGCCGAAGTCTGTGGATTATTTTCAAAGGCAGCCCCATGTATAATGCATTGCAGTAATCTGAACAAGATGTTATGGGAGCATGAATAGCTGTAGCTAGGCTAGGCTTTCTCTGTCTTGACCGGGGAAAAGTGTGGTGGTGTTCAGAGCACTGAGCCGGACTCGGGAGATCCCCATCCTGATCCCTGCTTGGCCATGAAACTCACTGAGTGACTTTGGGCAGCCCCGACTCACTGCTCAATCTACCTCGAAGGACTGTTGTGAAGATTTTTTTAAAAGGGAGAGAAGACATGCAAATCTGCTTGAGGTCCTTGAAAGAGGAAAAATGGGATATACATGGGGTAAATGTGGTAACAATAACAGGGCTGTTATTGTTTTGCTGACTGAAGTTGAGCTCAGAACAACATACAATAAAATATTGAAACAGCAGTTTCAAGACAGTATTGCCATTTTTTAAAAAAGGAAACCAGAACAAGAAGGGCATAGATAAAATGTCAGTATGGTACATCAGAGGTTTAAGGAGACTCAGCAAGTAAAAGGTTTGTACTTGGTACCATTTGAAAAAATGCCAGAAATAGGCTTCCTGTCTTCTTTCGACAACCACTTAGCCTCAGCAGGTAGTGGGACCTGGAGTAAGCCCTCAGAGGATAATGGTCCCTGCCCACCTTCTGAGGGCAATCTGATAAGGCCCTTTCCCACGTCCCTCTGCCGTACAAGGTATGGTTGGTGGAGACAGGTGAAAGAGCCCGTTAACTTGTGGCTCCCAACGTCCAGGGATTCCTTGTCCTGGGAGGTTCAGTTACTTCCCACTTTGCTGGCCTTCCAGTGCTGCTTGAATGCTGCTTTGAAGTATTTTTATTCAGCTGCTTGGTCAGAAGGGCTCCCTGAATACCTTGCTTGCAGTCATTAAACCAGACAGTTCCTGGCAACACCATTACAGTCCAAAGAGACATAACATGCAAGGAAAGAGGGAAAGGGAGGGAAGAGGAAAAGATTAACTGGTGGAATGGCCTGCATCTCCCTCTCACCCCTCTCTGATCAACTTGCTGGAATGGCTGCTGCTGATGATGATTGAGGAGGAGGAGGAGACTTTGTGATGCTCTTCCAGCAGGGCTGGTAGAATATTTTTACCAGCCTTTCATTGCTCTGCTGCCAAGGCTTCTTTTTTTCCTTGTATCCTTTTTTCTTTACTCTTGGCTGGCCTTTAGTTTTAACTCTATAGATCCCCTCCTTGTGTTATTTTTGCTTTGTATTTTGCCGATTTCCTTCATATGTAAAAGCAGCATGTGTGCGTACAGGCCTGCATATTGCAGTCTAGCGGCTGTTTGGTTGGTGCTTTGCCCTTGTGAGCCGCTTTGGGGTGGAAAAGCAGGAGTTGAGGCATTCTAACAGGATTTCTACTGAACTGATTGTGGCGAGGGAAGTGGGGGCTTTGGCCTCCATCATTCTGTGGCAGCCCCTTCAGGCCCCTGCACAGAAACTTAACAGACCCTCTTGAATAGAGTGAGACACGAGGTGTGGAGATCCCCAGACAATCAGGCAGGGAGATCTTTCATGGCCCCTTTCTCTCGTGGAAGGCAGAGCCTAGAGCCAAACCGACATCAGTAGGGGCAACCTGAGATGAGCTTAGGGTTGCCTGTTAAACAGAAAAAAAAATACCACCCTGCCCTGCTTCTGTGCCTTCAGCAGCCTGCTATGCACAACTTCACAGGTTGGAGAGTTTCAGGGCATGGAGGCGGCATTAGACACTAATGCGTGTGCATTGAGATGCTGCTGAAATACGTTTATGATCTGTAATGACAATTGCCAGGTATAGATAGGGAGGGCCGAAGGGCTCAAGCAGATACGATGTCTGCACAGCCTTGCACATTGGCTGGCATGAAAGGTGTGGAGAAGGAGGACTCGTGGGTTCCCTAGAAGAGGCGATAGATCTTACATGGGGGACTGGAAGCAGTGGTTGGAAGAAGAGGACTGTCTGTGAGCAACATTTCCTGATCTGTCTCCTTTTTTCCCTCCTTCTGTGCTCTGCTGTTCAATGACTGACCTCCAGCGGAGGCAGTGGCTACAGGAGGCGATGGTAGAGGCATTCCGGGGGCAAGTGGATGAGGTAGAACAGATGAAGGAATGTCTGCGGCTACTGGAGGCTTTGACCCCTGGAGCAGAACGTGGAGAGAGTTCGGAGGAAGCGCATTCGGACCTCGACCGCAGAGAGAGCGCCTTGGACATTCTTGCAGAGTTGTGTGAAAACTTGGATAATGCTGCAGGTATGGAGATGGTCACACGTAGGCAGGCCTTTTAATAGGGGGAATTTTGGGCTCTCAGCTCTGCCATCACCTAAGTGGAGGTGGGCAGTGTCACCTATGGAATGTCCCTATTTCCAACCATTGTTTATATTTCAGGGCATAAGGTGCTCTGTGCTGCTTCAGAGCTTGACAAGCTGACACCTTTCCTCTCCCACCAGTTTTCTTAAAATGCTTTAAAACCTCCTAGAAGCTTGGTATAAAGGGTTTGGGTGTGATAGAGCCCCCATCCATTAGAGAGGAGACAAACTATTAAACAGCTAATTCATTATCAAAGGGATATTTTGTACATAAAGGAATACTAATATTTACTTAGGAATTTTCATTTTGTGTATCTACTTGGCAAATTCAAACCTTTCATAATTTCTTTTATCCCAGCCAAAATTTCCTCAGTTTCCCAAACCAGCCAGATGTGGACTCACAACCAAGTCTACTTCTTGGGTACAATCTTCCTCAGACTCCCAGAGTTCCTCCTTTTATATTACAGTGTATCCAGGCTTTTACTAACTACTTGTCTGACCATCTAGCAGAATCTTAGATCAGTCTCTCCGTGTAACACAGCCACCTGGTTCCTACTCCTAATCCCCACCAGCTACATGTAGGTACCCTTTGGTGAAGAATAGCTTAATATTCGGGTTTTTTCTATATCTTGTAGACCTTCTGCAACACCACCTACCAACCAGACTTTCTCCCTCACAAACTGTCACCAAACGGACATGTTAGCTTTTCATCTAATTTCCCAACCCCTCTTTTCTACCTGGTTAGAATCCCCAACCAATCAAAACTGAATTTGCCTGATGCATGTCCCATCTATAAATATTCAAAGCAAGTATCTCTCTTTCTACCTTTGGAATGTCACTAAGCAAGTACTTACAGAAGCTGCTGACAGTAACAAGGCAAAATTCAGCATCAGAAGAGTTCTGTACAGGGCGTACGTTCAGTCGGTGCATGTGTGAGCGAGGAGGAGGAGGAGTGAGTTGCTTGCTTTAAATAAGGGGACTCATTCCCACTGCTGTGCCCCTCCTGATAAGCTGCCTAATTCAAGTGGGCTTACTTAGCAGATAACCTGGGATGATTCAAGTTCTGCCCTACAGAGAAACTAATTGTGAGGAAGGAGGAGGGAAGGCGGGGGGCAACACTATTGACCTGCCCAACACTCCCTGCGCTCCATCTCTGGTACTATGTCACTCCATCCTTGAGCATCTTTGACATCTTCCAGGGGACATATAATTGGTGTCTCTACATGTTAAAGCAACCTGAGGAAGTTTCTAATGCTCAGATCATGGCATATCAGGAAATCCCAAGAATAGATGGTGTAAACGGAATAAATTTCCTTTCCTGAGCCTAATGGGTCACTGCTGCGGCATTTGGGGGACAGGAAAGGCAGGAGGCATCTTACATTGGACAGCTTGTGCTATTTTTTCCCAGACTTCTGCAAACTGGAGGGCATGCGGCTGCTGGCACACCGGTACCTGGAACATGAGGAGCAAGAGTTGCGCTGGCGAGCTGCCCACCTGGTGGGCACTTGTGCCCAGAACGTGCCAAAGGTGCAGGAGCAGGCGCTGGCACTGGGCTGCATGCGGAAGCTCTTGCGGCTCCTGGACCACGATCCCAGCGAGGCAGTCCGGATCAAGGCGCTTTTTGCTATTTCCTGTAAGCTTGGGGATATTTGGATTCTTGGGCTGTGGAGGCGAAGTCAAAACCAGATATGAAATGGGAGGGCCACAACTTGTCCTGCTCCCTGCTGGCACTGCCTTTAGTCTTGCAAGCAGATCAAGGGTAAATATTTATATTCCCCTCCTGCCCTCAGTAGAATAAGTGGCAGTTCAGATGGGAGCAATTAATATAGGGGAGATGGTGCAGCAGCAAACATATTGAATTCACTGTTCCCTAGTACTCCTCCTGTGATCAAATAAAGACCCCTCCCTATCCAATTTCTTTAAGATGTTCAAGGTGGAGGGAGGAGTCAGTCATGGATTTGCATGTTACATCTGTTCTGTGCCCCCCCCCAAAAAGAATAAAGTCCTTCCATTAGCAGCAAGCACACTTTATTGTTAAGTTACAAAGGAAGAGCATTAAATCCTGAATAGGAGAACCTTAAAAACCTGTGGGTTGTCCTCTAGTAGGTGGGTGTAAACTGGTGCTATTGCAATGATTCATTGTGATGTTTGTGAACTGCCTTTTTGTTCTAAAAAGAAACTAAAATCAGCGAAAACATGCCAAGAGAAATACAACAATGACAAAATCGGCACCCAAGCAACCAATCTGTTGCTGTTTTGTCCTCGGCATCAGAGGGAGATGGATTGCATGCCAGGCTTCTGCCTGGTACTGTCCACAGTTATAAGTGTATTAAATACACAGCAGTCCAGCAGCTGTTTAAGTTACACTTTTTACTTCCAAGGATTCATGGTTCAAACTTCTCCTAGGCGTTTTGGGAACCTTCATAAGTGTGCCCTGAACTGACATGACTGTGTCTTTGAGGAACAATTGATCTTATAGTTTGGCTGGAGAGTTCAGAGCCCTATTCAGGCAGGAAACACAATAAAGTCAATCTAACCTATACCTTGGTGTATCATTGTGAGGATAAAGTGGGGTAAGACACATCTTCCGGGAGCTCCATGGAGGTGGGGGGAGGAGGAGGGGGAGGATAGTTACTGTTATTGTATTATTATTATTATTATTATTATTATTATTATTATTCAATTGGCCAATTTTAGGTAGCATTGTACACCTCCTACTGAGTGTGTGGCAGTCTCATTCTTGGTTTATTATTCTTATTCGTTCAGTCCAAGGCCATGTCAGCCAGCCTGTCCAGCACCAAAGGCCGAGTCTTGCCTCTGGTGTGAGATGTAAATCTAGGTGCCTGGGCCCAACACTCTGTCTGTGCGCCTGACAATTTTGTGAACTCCCTACTTCCCTCTTTCTCTCTGCTTCCAGGTTTGGTAAGAGCCCAGGAAGCTGGGTTGCAGCAGTTCCTACGACTTGATGGGTTCTCAGTCCTCATGAGGGCCATGCAGAGCAGTGTGCAGAAGCTGAAAGTAAAATCTGCCTTCCTCTTGCAGAACCTTCTCATAGACCACCCGGAGCAGAAAGGTGAGAATCACACCATCCTCGTGTGTGGAGGTGTTACTTCTTGGGATGCTAGCGATTTATAGCACCTAATTCTCCATTGCCTCCATCGTGGTTGCCTCATCTTTCACTTCCTGCACTGGAAGTCCCAGCTGCTCTGGTTTCTTCTCTCTGTGGTCTTGACAGCTGAAAGTTCTCCACTGGCTTGTTAGATGTCCTGAGATTGGGTTGCCCTTGACGGTGAGACCAGATATGACCTGGCTGTTTTTTTGTGAGCCCCGAAGCATTACACTAGCTCCTACTATTCATAAAAGAAGATTTAAAGATTAAGATTACATTTTACAGGCCAACCCTGGTATTCCCACATGCCGATTAACTTTGGCTGCAATCATATATAAGACAAAAGAGAAATGCACCACAGTTTGTCATTCCCGACACATTTCAAGAGTCTTCTTTTTTCAAGGGCAATTGATGTCTTCTGATGTATAGTAACACTTAGAACTCCTTTCTCCAAAATCTGCGATGGAAGACACAATTCTGTCTACTAGTCTTCCTTAACCTGGTGCCCTCCAAAAGTTGTGGACCACAGCTCCTAGCATCCCTGTCTACTGGCCATGCAAACTGGGGCCAATGGGAGCTGAAGTCCAAAATATCTGAAGGCCACTAGGTCAAGCAAGCCTTCTATACGTTCTTCTCTGGAGTAAAGCCCATTCAACTCCATGGCTGTTATTTCTATGTAGACACGCAAAGGTGGTGCTGTTAACGGCTCATTCTCTCTACTCCTGGCTTGGTCTATAAGTAGGAATAGAAGAAGCTGTCTTCTACCAGGGCAGGCTATTGGTCCATCTAGGCCAGTATTGGTTGCTCTGATTGGCAGAGCTCCAGAGTCTCAGGCAGCGGTTTCCCCATCCCCAGCCGTCTAGGTCGCTTTAGGCTGGAGTTCCTGGGGAGCCAACGCAAGAGCTTTTGCACGTAGAGCCTCTGTTCTACCATGAAGCTCCAGGAGGATCCTGAAGGAAAAAAGGGTGTATTTTTCAGGTGGGGTTGGGAGAATGCCATTTTTAAATACACAATCCTTGCCAGTAAAGCACACGCAGAGCAGGGCCTAGGGTTCTGGCCCACGGCAGTCTGTATGTGAGTTTTCTACCTGCAGGTAGGGCTGTTTGTTTGAACTTTCCAGACTGTGGCTCTTCCACCTGCAGTCCAAAGTGGTATAGGCCACTCAGTGATCTGGTCTGTTCAGCTGCCTCAGGATACCACCACCTAGTTCTCTTGTTCGAGTAGATGAGGCCTCGTGGGGAGGCAGGGCTGACTCTCCGGTTAGGCAGATTGAGTTCGTCGCCTCTGGCGGCAGATGCTGGAAGGCAGCGAGGTGATGGAGGAGGAAGGCGTGAGCTGTGCAGCTTGCCCCGTGCTGCAAACAGTCGCCTGCCTGGGTTGTCAGGTGTGATGTAGGGTGTTATCTCATTCCCACTGTTGGAGCATCCAGCTTCTGGTCCACTTGGGCTTTGGACATAGAAGGGGAGAGAGTGCTCTCTTGCCTTTCATTTCAGGCAGCAGAAAGGGTTGTGGGAGCTGCCCGGAGGGATTCCCCAGGGTTGTGAGTGGCTGTTGGGGGAGTCTGATGGGGGCATTGGATAGAGGCTGAGGGTTAACCCAAGGCCTTTCCTCCGTGCTCCTTCAGAAGCCGTATAAGCACACGCTGCTGTTGTTTCCTCCACATTTGTATCCCGCCATTCCTCCGTTGGGGTCGGGGTGCATGCCTGGATATGGCGTTCCCCCCGTTCTCAGCTGCTCTGTGGGGTAAGTCCACCTGAGCAAGCGACTGGCCCAGGATGATTAGATCAGTGAGCTTCGAGGCTGTGTGGGGATTTGAACTCTCATTCTCCCAGCCAGGGTTCAAGGTTAATCACTTTGCACTAACAGTCATATGACCTGCTGCCTTCTTCCTCCCCACAGAGACACTCTGCTCCATGGGGATGGTCCAGCAACTGGTGGCCCTGATCCGGTCTGAACACAGCACTTTCCACGAGCACGTGTTGGGGGCGCTGTGCAGGTACGGAGCAGTGGGGAGCCGAGAACTGAAGCTCAGATCTGAGGGGTGCTCAAGGCTGGGTATTAGAAGGCTGTGTGCATGAAGCAGGGAGCTCTCTTGGGAGCAGTATTCTTGGGTCTCTGGAGTGAAGAGCTTGTGTATAGCAAGAGCGACACAGAGCAGTTGTGGCTGGCATGTGCTTTGGACCCAGTTCCTGCTGAAGGGGTAAACCCAACCCTCCCACGCCCTCTGCTTGCAAACTCTAGTGGTGAGTGTTGCTGACCATGTAGCCGAAATGGTGCCACGGACAGACAAGAGGGAGATACCTGCATGCATGGGGGACTCCCAAGGTTTGCAGAGGAGAAGCAGTGCTTTACATTGTGAACCCTAAGGGGGCATTTCTCTGCAAAATGAAAAAAGAAAACAAAATCCCAAGGAGCACTGAGTATGCTTAATGGCCATACAAGGTTTTGTGGCCATTGAAAATGAAAAGGGGGTGAGGGGAAGATGGCTCAGAGTATTACAGGAGAGAGGCATAGGTTAGAAACCTGGGCAGGAGTGCTCCTTCTCAGCTGTGCAACCTTTTGCTCCAAGTCCCAGTTGTCCACCTTTTGATCACCATTTCCTTTCTTTTGTGTGGCCCCTTCCCCATCCCCCAAAAAGCCTAGTAACAGATTTCCCTCAAGGTGTACGAGAGTGTCAAGAACCAGAATTAGCACTCGAGGAACTGTTAAAAGAGCGATGCAAGCTACTAAAGGATCAGGATGAATTCCAGGTAAGCCAGAAGGATTCTACTTTTGCAATTTTCCAGTTTTGATCAAAGGATGGGGTAATGCTAGGAAGGCCAGGCACCGAAGGCATGTTCAAGCTTTTCTCTACAACGGTGAGGGCTGGAAACTTTTTTGAAAGGGAGAACTCAAGAAAGCAGAGAGAAGCTGAGCTTTGGAAGGCCAAATTGCCCTCCATGCTTGAACTACAAAGCCCCTGGCAGCTTCGCTTGCTTCTTGGGAAGGTGGGAGCATGTTTGGCTTCAGGCTTCTTCAGAAACCGTATAAGCTTTGCTCTGCTTTGTTTGCTTGGCGTTAGGGGACACCAGACACTTTTATTGACCTCTGAAGACACGGGTGGGCATATGTCAGGTTTGGGAGATCTAGCCTGGTGGTATTTAAGTCCTTGCCTGATTGCTCTGAGTGACAAAGAATGGCATGCAGGCAAGTAAGCAGGCTGGTGGAGAAGGGATTGAGCACTTGTGTTTTTAATCCACGCCCTGGCTTGGAAACCATGTGGACCAGCAGAGCTGAGGAATCCCCCCCTCTCTGCACCCCTTGGGCTGCTGCAGGAGGGCCAGAAGCCCCTGCTGGGCTCGCACAACACAACTAGCACCGTTGATGGTCATCACGGATGGTTCATCTTGTCGTCCAGCCCCAGCTGTGATGGTTTTCCATTGTGGCTTCCCATACTGGAGAACCACAGCAAGGAGCAGCTGGAGAACCCGACCACAATCATTTGCTGGGTTGTCTGACTGGGACAACATGGTCCATTGTGGGTGCAGCCCAGGACTCAGAGAGCCGCTTGATCGCCCAGTTTGGCACCGCTGCCCGAGGCATCCCTCCTCCCTCTGTGCCCCAGAGACCCACTCCGGGGGAGGGGGCAGGAGCCAGTGTTTTGCTGGGTGGTGCTGCTCTGTTCTGGAGGAGGGTTGCTCCCAGGCAAGAGCAGGACCATGGGCTTGGTGGGGATGCGCCAAGAACAAGGCACCTCTGCCAGGCGTGTTGCACCACTCCCTGCCCTGCTCCCGCTTTGGACTCATCCTCTCAGGCAAGAGCCCAGAGAATGAGGTGGGTTTGGGGACAATGCCCTGCCCTTGGGGCAGCCCCACAGAGTCCATGGCTTGCCTTCCTGGCCCCTGCCCATGTAACTTGCTCCATGCAGGAGTGCAGAGCCAGCAAGCTGCTTTGCGAGGCTCTCCTGAGAATGCCCCTGCACTTGTGCCGGAGAGGTGGGAGCAGGGGGTCAGTGCCCCCCGTTTGGTCCCCCACTGCTCCCCCAGAGTTGCCCATTTGGGCACAAGCAGAGGCAGGCACTGGCTTTGCAGCACCGCCCTGCTGAGCAGGTCCCTGGTTCCTCCGAGCGTCTTACTCCCAGGCAGGAGCTGGGAGCCGGCCCTGCGAAAGGGGCAGCACGGCTGAGCAGATTGGGAACTCCCGGGCCCAGTGCCAGATCAGCTCTGTGGCCGTCATCCTCCTGTGCTTTGGTGTGCAAACCCTGTTTGCGGCGCAGAGAGGCTCCGACAGCTGCAGTGAGCCAAAATCAGCTCAGGATCACAGCTGTCACAAAGAGAGGCCTTGTTGTCTCCCTGGTGTCAGCTGAGGTGGCCCCAGGAGGAATGAGGAGGAAAGGGCGGGGGCGGAGCAAAGCAACCCCCGCGAACCCTTCTGCAGCCTCATCAAGGTTGTTTGGCACTTGATGGCAGCCCGTTGTAGTGATATATCACACTGGGTTGCCATTACATGCAAACCTGCCCTGAGCGTGTGTGTTTTTGCAAGCCAGAAGCCTTTCGGAGCTTGTTTAAAAGGCTGCGTTACATTGGATGATCTGACACTCCTGAACTTCTTTCAGTGCAAGCAATATTTATTTATTTATTTATTTATTTATTTATTTATTTATTTATTAATTAATTAAAACATTTCTATGTTTGGGGCTTTTGCCAACGCCACTTGGCCTCCGTGAAGAATCGTGGTGGATGGTGGCTTTCCTATGAGTGCAGGGCGTGCATGCAGTACTCTAGCCCTTTCTGCAGCGGTGCTTCCATTTCTGCTGCTCAGGAATGGAGTGGATAAACATTCCCAGCTGCAGGAGGCTGGAGTCCGCTTCCTTGCCATGGGATTGCGCGACCAGTCCCATCCCTTCTGTAGCCTTCTGATGTTCTCCTTACTTTTTAGCACTTGATTTGAGGGGAAACAGGGAGAGATGCACTGCCTTTGTGTTGTGTCTACGGCTCTTGTTTTGTTTATTCTGAACAGACAAGTTCCCGCCCCCTACCGTTAGCAACCAGCAGTTTTCTCCCAACGTAGCAATTAGGTTACACCAAGCTTGATAATTAAACAATTGGCGTAATGAAGGGAAGGGTGATAGCGAGCCTTGCTCCTCACTGCTGTGCCATTTCGAAAATGCCCAACTTCCTTCCCTTCCCTGCTGAGCTCCACAAAATCGCTGAGATGAGAGCACTTGGGGACCCTGAGGATTCTCGCTCATTCTTACACATGAGGTGCTGCATGGCTGCCCCTTGAAATGGAGGAGGTGGGGTGGGCGAAGGTGTGCATCACAGTCAACTCATGGATGTGCTTTATCATGAGTTTTATTGCATTTGAAGGCACTTGCATTTTCAATGTTTATTGAAAGTGTGTAACAAGTCTCAGACAGTGCACCCCCAAAATAATCAACAGGCAGCTATTCCCTTTAAATCCAGTGAAGGAAGAATTCATTGCTTAGCATGTCTTTCCATAAGGTGCCCTGCGTTTGTATTTAGTGTTCGTGGTGCTCAGTACCCTGAAAGCATTTGCAGACGCATGAGCAGAAGAGTTGCATGGTACGGTCCACCCACTCAGACTTCAGGGATGGGTGGGGCCGAGGAGGAGGTTGCTGCTGGTTTTGAATTGCTCTTTGCTCCTGCTCAGAAGCAGCAGCTGATAAGCACTTCCACGCACTTAAACAACCAGCATGTCCCAGTGCTGGCCCCCAGGCCTACTTGTGGCAGTCAGGAAAGGTGTTTTGTTGCCCATCCAGGTTCTAGCCTTTTGGGAAAGAGATAGGATTTCTTGGAGAACTGTCTTCAGGAATGTGGTCTGATCTACTTCCTCATATTACCAGCCTCCAATAAGGGAATCTGTTTCTCTGGACAAGCTGCTGTCACATCTGGCCTGATCCCTTCATCTGTTTCTGGAATAGGGAGGTTCCATGCTCTCCAGATGTTTTAACTACAAGTCCCATAGTCCTGATCACCCATACTAGGTAGGGTTGATGGGAGTTGTTCATAAGATGGAGACTGCTAGGTTGCCTACTTGTGCTTTAAAGTAGCCACTGCTAAATGAAATCTTTGTGAATAAAATTATTCAATCTACTGTTAACCTCTCCCCCGCCCCCATGTAACTGAGGCTGTGGTCTTATTCATATCCACATAAGAGTAAGTCACTGAATATGGTGGTACTTACTTCCAAGTAAACATGCATAAGATTGCTCTCGAAGCCAAAGTATATGCAGTTAAAATAAACAAACATTCTTCCTCTGTTTATTCTGGTCTTCATCTTCCTGTCCAGTCTGTCAGATTTTAGATCGTAAGCTCCTTGGGTCCTATCCTGCTTTTTAAAGAGACACACATACATACAGATTGTTTGGAAGATCTTTGGAACTGGACCTAGATCTTGGAACTGTTGGGCACTGTTACCAAGACTTCCTCTCCTGGGCACTACTGTTGTTCATAGTTAACACCAGAGAGGAAAACAGATAGTTTGAAATATCCCTCAGGGACTATAATTTCACTTAGTGAGTATATGTGGAGAAATTTCTATTGCTTCAGGAAGGCTAGACCACTTGTAAGGAATGTTTGATATGAGGTCACATTCAGACACTTTATTTCTCCTTCTATTGCCATGCAACCAGAATAGGAGAACTGCACCACACCTTTGAATTGGCCAAAGCAACAGAGATTACAATGGGCCATAAAGAATGTGCGTAAGGCCTTTTTGTTCATGTATGAGTATGCAAGCTTTGAAGTTAACACAGATCTCTTAATTGGGCAGAATAGAAGCAGTGTGGGAAGCAAAGATGGTGAGTAAAACAATTTCTAGTTTCAGAGCGGGAAGTCTTCATTACTTGAACAGCATTTTGGCAATCAAGTCAAGTTGCAGTGATCCAAGAAGGATCAAAACTGTCCTCATATCCTCCTCTCTCATTCTTTTTTACATTATTATTTTAAATAGGAGGAACAGGATTTCTGTGAGACACTTCTGCGCCTTTGCTTCTGCAATCAACCTGATGAAAACAACATGGATCGGTAACTTGGCTTCCCTTCCTCCCACTTGACAGTTGAAGTTCTCTTGGACCCATGTCAGTTGGAGACACTGTATGGAAACGCCCCTGTTTATCCTCCATTCACTGAACTGGCAACAGGCTGGAATAACAGAAGATCTCTCTGAAACAAGATACGGAGCTTGTTAACCTAATGATCAGCAGGAAGACACTTTCATAAGCTGTCACTGTGTAACTTCCTCTCTGCCACCCTGCAGAAACTTGCTTTCTGCTGCTCTCCCTATCCTCAACCCCACAGTTTACCGCCAAGTAGCTATAGTTTCATGATGGCTCTTAAGTTCTCCATGTTTCATTGGGAAGTGACCTGTTTCCCATAGCTACACTGCTTCTTTTCAGAGTTGAGATACTTGAGTGCCTTTTTACTTTTTTTTATCCAGGAAGTAGCTGAATGGGGCATCTTTAGATCTACAACTAAAATGGATTGCAGTTGGCTACTCCAGAAACATACACCAGATCGCATATTTGGGGAACATCAGTTCAAAGGACTTGCGCATGTGTGTATAGGACGTATCTTTACCCATCACTTAAACAGCCATTTTCAGGGAGGAGAAAATGTACTAGCTGAATTCTCTGTAAGGTTAATGTTGCCAGCTGCAGAAGAGGACTGGATTCCTGCACCTCCAATCATTGCAAAGAGTGATTTTAACGAGAGACTAGCTGAAGTTGCCTCTTCTACACAACTATCAGAAGGACAGGAGGACATCCTCTTTTGCTGCAGGCCTTCTGGTTGAGGTCTTGGCTTCATTCACCCCCTTTCATGTCATTGGCTGACGATGAGCAGATGTATTGTGGGGGCTCGCATCTCCCATCACTCTGCTTTTGCTGTTGCTGTGTTCTCTGCTTAAGGTTTCTAAAAAAACAAAAAAACAAGTTTCTGTTTTAGGTGATAAGTCTGGCACATTTTTGTCTTTCCTACCAGATGCGTTTATACCTTCTTTTGTGTATTGTCTCTCTCACTTAGAAAAAGATGACAGAGGCGGTCATTCCAACGTAGGGGTCAGCGAACGCAAGTCATCATGCTCCCAATCAAAATTGGCCTTCATCAGCGCCTCTTAGTTGTTAAATTTATGTACTGCCAAAATTGGTACTCCAGATAGTTGACAGCAGTTGGATACACATGAAAAACGAATCAGCTAGAACATAAAGCTGAGTTGAGGAAAGCCATTGTGGTGGAGTGGTGAGAGTGTCCAGCTAGGCCTCGTGGCCTGTGGCCATGAAGCTCGCTGGGAGGCCTGAGGCCAGTCTCTGATTCAGCCTAACGAGCCTAACAGAGGACAGCAGAGAGGAGGAGAGCCTCCTAAATCACCTTGGGTTCCTTACAGGAGGAAAATGTAACATTGAATGTCATTATAAATAAATTTTAAAATACAAGGAAATAGCACCTCCCTTCCTTAGCTATTATCCCAGTGGTGAGAGTGTCTTTCCCAAAGGCACTTCTGGAGGACACTGGCAGAGCTTCTGCCTAATGGATTGTGTTTTGCTTCCAGAGGAGATACGCCATATTACAAGGGACTAATGGAACTCCCCCTTTCAAAGCAGGGTTGGTTTGCGAGCGAGACAGAGTGAAGGGTGCTGTTCTAGAAACACAAGTCCGGCGTGACATCCCTTGGGTGTGCAGAACTGGTTCTGTGATTTTTCCAAGCCAGGGAACAGAAGCATCATATATATTTTTCTTCCAATGATGAATTGGGAAAAAAGCAAATCACCAAATGTTGGGCCACTTTATTTCCCAGAGTTTCTGACCATTGGCCTTGCTAACAGGCTTCTGGGAGCTGAAGCCCCAATTGGGAGAGCTGCCTTCTGCCTGCCCCTGCTCTAAAGTACTCATGGTGGCTGGCATTTTAAAATGGGTTAAAATTTCCTGGATATGATGAACAAGACGTCTGGAGGGAAGAAAAGCACACGTATATTCAGCTATTGTCTTTTTCATGCTTCTACATAATAACTGTTGTATGAGGCAGTTCTCAGAGGAGCTCAATGGACATTGGTCCTGGCTAGGCCTATGGAGAGTTTAATTGCTCTTTAATTCCTCCCACTGATGTAGCCACCGTTAATCTTTTATCTTCTCCTCCTCACCCAAGAGAACATTGTGATCCTCTGATGATGATAATCATCAACATAGGCAGGAGAAAAGGCAGTCTTTGAAAAGTCCACTATGAATAATGAAACACATTGCCATAGGATGTGGGGTTTGCTCCTAGATTTCAGGTGGCTTTTAGAAAGGATTAGATAGATTCACAAGGGAGGTAATTAGCCATGATAGATAGAAATGAAAGCTGCAGCAGCCTCCTTTGGATTATCATTTGCTGGCAGAATTCAGGCTCTTGTGAATTTCCCACTGATTGCCTTCTCTGGGCAACAGATGCTACAGTCGATGGGGTTGTTTCTTACCTAACCCTGCTTACCCCATCCATGTCTTCAGTGGAAGGTTGAACCCTAGGCTAAAACTAAAACGACTGCTGGAGATAATTATCATTTATTTGCTTTACGCCTCCCCATGTGGTGCATGTTTTACTTTCAGGTAAACCTCGTATATGAACAAAGAGGTCTCATGCCCAAGCCATAATTACACAAGTAATTGCCCCATAGCACCTTGAAAAAATTGTACAACCATAACATTTGCTGAACTGCTAAGGGTTTAGAAGGAGAAAGTGCTAATGTTTATGCCACTGCAAAACAAGAGTGTGTGTGTTGATTCCAACTAGAAACAAGGACACTCCTTCATTTCCTTCCCCACAACCACCTTCCCCTCCAGTACAGGATGTATTTTACCTTTAATCAGACCAGAATATTTTGAGTGAACAAGGACTGTGAAAATTCGACAAAAATGATGGCATAAAAACTTATAACCTCACTGATTTATAGCTCCCAGTTACTCCCAAATCTTTCCCTCTTTCTCTCTTGTCACTCTGGTAACTGGCCTCCATTTAAGGTCGAGGTCCTAGTGCTGAGCATACATGGAGGCTCAGTTTCAATCAGGACAGTGCTGACTTTTCTGAAGACACCCCATGTGTTCAGAATATCAGTGGGGTGTCACCCTTAGGCTGATGACCACACAACCATACCAAGGCTTATTTCCCTTTGCATTGAGTCAGGCCAGTGTCAGAACTGACTTGGCAACAGCAGTCCAGGTTGTCAAGGAAGAGTTTTCCCAGCCCAGTCTGAAAATGGCAGGGAATGAACCTGGGGCATTGGCATGCAAAACAGGTACTTTGTGGCTTGGCTGGCGAGGTTGCTGTGGATGGCGCCACAGCCACTGAGAATACAGGTGCACTGCTGTGCAGCAACATCGTGAGCAGACATGCCTGCCTTGGATTTGTTTGATGGTAATTTATGGAAGCAGACAGCAAGACACAAGAGGTTTCTTGTGTATCGCCACTCCAGGAAGATCTTGCTGGGCCTTTAGAGAACTAGAATTGCTGGTGCTAATAGCTATGATCTCATGCATCCTAGTATCAGATTCATTTTCTTAGTGTGGATCCTTGCACAGCCGAAGCAGAAATAGCCATGTACAAGAGGGAAGAAGCCAGGGGTTGCAGAAGTACAGAAACATTTCAGGAACAAACTCTGAGGACCAATTATGTTGAGTGGGTATGACATACTGGTTGTTGCTGTGTGTGGGAAATACATGGTGAAAGGAACCATCCTGGAATGGACTTGGATGGCTGGAATCCTGAACAGGGGATCTCCACACTACAGCGTTTTCTTGGAGTACCCACTTCTCTGGTAGTCCTGTGTTCTGACCAGAACTGTAGGCCAAAATATTTGGAGAACCAAACACTGCCCTCCCTGTCCTGAAGTCTCCACAAGGGGGCATGGCTTATTCATTTATTAAATAATTTATAGCTGCCTTAAAAGGACCCCTGAGGCATCTCACAAGCATAAAAATAGAAATAAAACACCATAAGAACTGGTAACTTTAGAAAGGAGCCATAAAAATAAATGGCACTGAAGCTCAAATGCTCCCTTTTATGTGTTTCTTGCCTAGAAGCTTCAATGGAGGAAGCCAGGCGGGTTGCTGTGGTGGTAGAATTCCAGCATCTATAGGCTAGGTGCTGCCACTGCGACTGCTCTGCCCCACCAGGCCACCAAATGCAACAAGACACAGAGCAATGCTTTGGGAGATTAACACAATGAGAAGATTAACTAATATGGGGGAAAGCAGCCTGACCTCAAACCATTTAGAGCTGGGCTAATCACAAACCCACTTTAACTGAGCCAGAAGCAATGCTGGAACTCGGTGAGATTAACCTCCCTAACCCTAATGCTCTTCCAGTGTTTGCAACATTCCTGACCATGGACTAGGATAGCTGGGGCTTGAGGAAGCTGAATGCCAGAACATCTGGAGGACATTAAGTTGCAGAAAGCTACAGAGTAATGTTGTACCATTTACAGCTGTTCAAGCAAGTCATTCCACCAAAAGCTAACTCTAGGCAGTTGCACAAGTTCTGAGCGGTCAGCTGATTCTTGCAAAAGGCCAGGAGTACCCAGTGCTGCACCAGCACACACTTCCAGTGGCATCTCTGAAGGGGTCCCCCAAATAGTGTCTGCAGGTACCCGATAGTTAATTATTTTTCCCCTATGTTAGCAAATTTGGAAGCTTCAAGAAATGCAGACCAAGCCTCCAAATAAGTATCCATTTTAAGTTGGCTTCTATACACCACCTATTCATATACTGAAAGCTTTCTAAGGTTGCATTATAAGAGGTGAGTATCTGCCCAATTTTGTAGTATCAATTTTTTAGCTGTTGAAAGGGCACAGAGAATCCATTTACACAGACCATTTATTAATTTCCATGGAACAGGTCAATAATTTAAAAGAGTACATACATCAATGAATATTAAAGATGATTCCAGTACAAAATTTATCTGTAATAACTTCCCCTGCGAAAGAAACAATTATAGAACATTTCCAAAACATGGTTTTAAAAGAAGCATTAGCTGTATTGCACTGGCAGCAATTAGCTGAATTGAACAATTCCGTATTAAAGAGACCCTTTGGTGTCCAGTAAGTCACAAAACAACCATTTTGGCTGAATTAGATGCAGCCTAAGATACATAAACATGACAGGTGGATGCCAAAGTGGCAATCCACAGAAAGTCCTTTTGTTACGGTTCCCACAGCAGTTTGTCAGATTCCCAAATGTGCCCAGGGATAAAAAAAGGGGACACACCATATGATGATCCAGCTTTTCCTGAAGTTGCTTAGCTCCCGGATCCACAGCACATGTGGGGTTTGCATCTTCCTCCTGAGTAGACCTAGTGGGTCTGGAGTTTTGTCACTGATTCTCTTCTGCTTCCAAAGGAATTTGTCAGGAAGCAGCAGTATGTGTGTGTATCCAGATCTGGGATGCTTATCCTGGCAAGGTGCAGGAGACCTCAGCACTGGAGCCCCTCTGGCGGGGGGGGGGGGGGAATCTTCTCAGGAAGCAGCATCAGGTTCAGCTCATGGTACTTAGTTCTCAGGCACTCTGTTTGCACCAGAGCCATCACTGGAACTTCATCCTCTTCCAGAAACAGAAGCTTTATCCAGGCTGAGTCTTGGTGGGTCCTGTGACAAACTCTGTGGGAAAAATAAACCCCAGATACCATTCTAGCCGCCCGATTTTGGCCCAACTTTTGTTTTCAGGTGTGTACTTTGAAATTCCCTCTGTGTGGTAAACCAAGGGATGGATAAAATGACACAGAGCACCTCAGAATGCAAATCCTAAAGTATTTTTAAATGATTTGTTATTAACAGAAAATAACCTTACCTAATAAAATTTAAGACATTTAAAATATTTTTAAAAGTTATTTCATTTCTATATAATTCACAGCTGGAGCTTTCTGGATGGTTTACAACAAAATATAAAAACAATAAAATACAATAGATAAACGCACTAGCAAGATTAAAGAAAAATAAAACAGCATACAAAACATTAAAAGACAATTGGAAGGTAATAAAAAGATTCAGCCAAGAATAAAAGAAAGGTATCTGGAAATCGTGTCAGGTCCCTGAATGACCAGGCAGGTCTTTAAAGGCCTCTACAAAGAGGACTGTCTTAACCTGTTGCAGAAAAGATGGCAAATTTTGTGACAGGTAGAGTACAGCAGGGAGATTATTCCAAAGATGGGGGGCAGGCAACCACAGAATAGGCCAAAACCAAAATATGTGGTCTGTGTGTGTGTCAGATGGGGATACAAATTTGTCAGCATTTGCATATGCAAAAGCTAACCTGTTATCTCCTAGTGACAGAACAAGAGGTTTAACCATCTCTGTGCCCATGTAGATACATGATCTGTACATATGCTTGTACATCCGTACCACACTCTAAAGAAATGAGCCTGGTATTTTATTCTCATGAACCAGTGGCAAAGGCCTAGCTGGCCACAAAGAACATGCTCCTTTCAAAAGCATATACACAAAGAGATATCAAAGTCACGAAGGCTCTTTGCTCTTTGGTTTCTGGAAAGATTATGTCTGTTCTTTGGAATTTTAAAGATTGTAATTTAGCTGGGGTTTTGCATATTGATGGTGGGGGGTTTTTTTGGTTGTTGTTGGTTGGTTTTTGTCATCAGTATGCTGCAGTAAAAGGGCCTTTCGCCTTGCTTTGCCACAAAATGCCAGAACAACTCAAAGTCAGGTGTACAAGATAAAACAGGCACAGTGACTCCTCAGGACAGTGGTAACTTGAAATTGGCTATAGTCCACAAAAGTTTATGAATCTCAGAATAAGGTGAAAATCAATGTACGTTCAGACACCAAAAAGTCCTATAATTTGCAGCATTTTGCAGGGAGTTGCAGGGTTTTTTTCCTGTTTAACTCTGCATAGGATTCCACCTTAATGTGACTAAATGGAAGGCCCCATACTGCAATTTAGGATTGCAGATTTTGCATTCCTAGATCTGGAGCATAGGAAATTTCATTACTTTTAACTGTGCATTTTCTACCCTAGACTGGCAGCAGCTCTTGCAGTTTCAGGTCAGATTGAATCTCCCACACTTTGGAGATCCCAGGAACTGAATCTGGGAATTTTATCCAAACCAAGTGTTGCAATATGCCCATGTGTGTGTGTTATCTACCTATACAGATATAACAAAAACGAGAAAAGGTGGATAACAACAGACTGACAGAACGAGAGCACAATCCTATGTATATTTAGGTAGGAAAAAATCCTACAACTCCCAGCATGGTTGACTGGGGAATGCTGGGAGTTGTGAGATTTATTTTACCTGTCTGTATGAAAGGTAGAAAACTTAACAGAAAGCCAGGGTCACAGGGAGGCTGCTCTCATTTGGAGGGGAAGGAGTCACGAGGGAGACAAGAATGGCTCTTCTAGATTTCTTTTTTCAACATTATATTTAGGGTGCAAAACCAGTTGGGTTAGAACAAAAAAAAGTCCCAGTAAATTATGCTAGGAGCGGTAGGGCTTCCCTCCTCGTCTAATTATGTATAAGCCTGCAAGTTTAGACAGGACCAAAAGGACTACAACTCCCAGCATACCCCAGCGAGAATGGGTGATTGGGGCACGTTAGGGGTTGTAGACTTTTTTCTATATAACCTTGCACTGAATTGCGTCTTAAATGCGTTACAAGCTGCCACAAAACTATAAACCTCGACAAAATTGAGAAAAAGAATAAAAGGGAGTGAGGGAAGCCGCAGTAAAGCCACAATCCCGTGCAACATTTACTTAGGAGCAAGTCCATTGCAACGAACTGGACTTGACACCCCATGAGCAAGCTGAAAAAATGCGCCCAGGAAAGACGGAAGATCCACAGGCGCATGCGCAGCTAGTTTTCCTCTTGCATCCCTCGGCGTAAGGGAAGGGAGGGGGAGAAGGCGGGCGAATGAAAGAGCTCGCGGAGGAGGAGCAAAGCGGGTTGAGAAAGCGCGCGCATTGTAAAACCTAAAAAAAAAGAAAAGGGAAAAAGAAGAGGAAGAGCCAATCAGGCAGCACAGGGGCGGGGCTAAGTGGGAGAAGGCGAAGCGGGGAAGGAAACAGCAGGTCGACTGCTGAAGGCGCGCGCGGGGGATTGTGGGATCGCGGCGGTGTGAGCAAAAAAAAAAAAAATAAAAAAATAGTGAAGAGAGGTAGAGCAAGCGAAACAGAGAAGTCCCCCGCCCAGAGAGCGAAGAAGGGGCAGGAAGGAGGGGGCTCGAGCCCGGTGAGAGCGGTTGGCGGTGGGGTGGGGGAGGGAGAGGAAGGGAGGAAAGAGCGCGCGAGTGGGTGAGTGGGGAGCTGTGTGGGAAGGAGCCTGCCGCCATTTTAGAGCTCCCTATGGGAGACCCTCCCCCTGTATACCCGCCCCCCCCCACAGACCCCAATTTGATTTCTGTCCCTTCCTTTCCCCGCCTCATAATTCCTCTTGAGGCCCACCTCTTTCACCCTGCCAGGTAACCAGCCAGCCAGCCAGCCAGCCTTCCTATTTCTTTCCTCCGCCTCTCTGAACTCGATGGCTTTCCTCGTCTCCTCTCCTTCTGTACCCTCCCTGGACATAATCAAGTGTCTTAAAATCTTAGGAACTACCTTTTGAAAAGAGCCACTTTCATTGCTTCTCTGGTACTTGAAAGTGGGCTGTGAAAGCAGCGAAGGAGGAAGGTTTCTCTCCTACCCCTTCTTTCCAAGACACCCAGATCATTTATCCACATCCCCCGAAGTTCAGGGAGGTTAACCTGAAAGTTATGATATATATACAAATCCATTTGAGCAGGATTGAAATTAATGCTATACAACCCTCACTTTATTAAAAAGTTAAATACTGACCCCCTAAAGCCATTCTCTGATCAGGTTTGTTATGGCCTTTTAAAAAGATTCATGGGAACAAACCTTGAAGATCTAGATTTTTGTGTGGGTGGAGTAGTGATTTCTAATGCATATTAGTGACTATACTACTCATTGTTGTTACTTTGCTTAGTTGGGTACAAGAGTGTGTTTCAGAACACATGGCCCTAGTTTTTCACTCCCCTGGCTTTGTGTGTTTTTCTTACAGCATCTAAACCTTTTCAAACCTTCTGTACCCTTCTCCAGCAAGCCTTTCCTCTTCCTACTGAACACCCACTGGTACCTATTCTGTATACTCCTACTTTTGTATAAAATTACTGATACCCTGTGGTTCACTCCTCACGAACAGTAATATGGCTTAGAATTGCTACATGTATTAAACTTCCCATTTTAAAGTGTAGAGGAAAGCATATCCATTCATATTATATAACACTCTTTAACCTCACTTCCATGCACAACAGCAAGTTTAAAGTGTGTTAATGGATAATTGCATACACATGAACCACTAATGCTTCCCTGCTGACTTTGGATAACCCTAAGGGCTATACCCAGGTTTCCTTTTTCGCAGGCATGTCCCACAAAAGCCTGATCGATCTTACAAGCTCCTTTTCCCCACCCCTTGTGTGGCTGTGTCATGCTTTCACTGAGGGATCCTGATTGCTTCTCACACTATTACCTTCTTCCCATAACCTTTTATTATCGTGGTAAGCTGCAAAAATGTGACTGTAATCTTGTTTCCTCACCAGTAATCACCAGAGATGGGTTTTATGAATTAGAAAAATAATAGTTCCATGGCTTGTTGAGGGCAGAAGTTATTTCCTGTCGTCTTCTGGGACTAGGCTTCTGTTTCTTCATGGTCACTTTCATCAGTGTGACTTTGAACATTTCTTCAATGTGTATACCTCAGTTGGAATATTTCATTCTTTTGGAAGTTGTTGCAGTAATTATTGGCTTCATCTGTTTCATTATCTCCTTCAGATGGCCCTAAGTAGCAAGGGGTGAAGGGTGGGACTGGGTTTTGTGTTTGCAAAAGGAAAGAATGGATGGATTTTACTCTGATATTAAAATACTAGCTGACTGGTATTTTGGAGATCAAGAAGGAATTGACCAGTAGCCCTGGTAGATTATGGTTTTTTGTTGTTTTGTTGTTGAACCATCTGACAGTGTGACTATCTAGTATTCTGCACTTTTGGAAACTAACCCGAGTAGTTACTTTGCAAAAAAACCATTAAATTGTGGGCAGATGTCTACTTCCTTTGTGCTTTCTAAGCAAGAGCCTGGAAGGGATTCCATTTCCTGTTCAAGCTTTATAGTTTAAAAAAAAATCATGCTGCATATCACACAGTTGTTTGAGGACCTGATGCTCTTTTGGTCTTTGGTATCAATAAAATAAATGAAACTAGAAAGTGCTGATTCACCAAAGTGAGACTGCAGGAATGCTTGTATATTGACCAAGGAAATACTGCTGAACAAATTACAGTCATCCAAGCATCTTCTGCCTGTATGTGTCTTTAAGTAAATGAGAGGCATTCAACTAGGTTCTGGAATGGGGTACTGGCTGTCTGGGAAATGTGTGAACTTAGGGCTGTGGAGAAAGTGAATGCTCTGGTATACATAGGCAACAACAGAAATTGCCTCTTGTACCTTGCATATAGTGACATTGTTCTTAGACAGGCATCCCCAATCTGGTATTCTCTGGATGTGTTGGTCTGCAACTTATACCTTGCCAAGCCACCATTGCCTGACCAAGGATGTTTGGTGTAGTCTGGAGGGCACCAGATATGTGAAGACTGTTGGACAGCGGGGAACAGCTAGAGACAACTCTGGAACATACAACCAAGTCTCAACTGCTGCTGTGACATAACAAGATTAAGGGAATTCTGTTGTTTAGGGTAAGTGCTTAGTTCTTCCTCTTCTTCCAGGGAAGGGTCTGACTAAATGGTGCTTTGGTCCCATTGTTTCCTGAGCTAAGCTAGTGCACTAAAAATCAGAACCTGTACTTGCTGTTGTTCAGTGCAACCTGCTATTATATTGAGACGTTGCAACAGCACATCATCAGAGAAGGGTGGGGAGAAGTTAGGTTTACTCTAGTGGAGATGTGAGGTGTGTGAATAAGCAAGTTTCGAATATGTTAAATCCGATTTAATTTTTGACTGCCTCTGTGTGATATCATACATTGGACAGGAACCAGACTAACAACACAGTATCATGTGTTCACTCAGAGGTAAGCCCTACTGTATTTATGCTTGGAGATAGGCATGCATAGGATTGCAGCATAAGTTGGAACCAGTGGGACAAGTTTGCCCTCAAGTTCACAAATTTCTAAGGTGATTTCTCCCTTTCCCCCTCACTGCAATCCTATGACAGTTCTCTTAGTTTAGAATTGGGGAACAGAAGTCCAGAAAGGTAGTGTATGTGTTTATGTTGCATACACCTTTTATTTTTCTTTGGAGAGATTAAATTATACACAGGGTATATGATGCTGCTCCTTCCCTTTTCCATTGATCTGCCTGCTATTTAGGACAATGCGAAAGGGGATCCAGCCTGCCTCTCTTTGTTCTGTTATGGTTACACTTGGGAGGTGAACTTTTCTCTTCTTACCTCAGATAGTTCCAACAGATGTCAGCTTGAAGAATTCTCTCTCATGTGCTCTCCCTGCTCTTTTTATTCCTTTTTTTAATTTAGAGCTTACCCTGTTGCAATAGTTCAGGCTACACAGTCAGTCATGGTTAAATCTAGGAGGTGTGCAGCTGCAGCCTGCTTTGACAGTTTTGGCAGAAGAGGCCTAAAACTAATCCCACTGCTACAATCAGCACATAAGGAAGTAATTGAAATAAGAGACTTGAAATTCCAACAAAGCTTCCCTTTTAGTACATTTTGATGGACAGCCTGGAATCCCAAGTGCTTATTTATTTCCTACAGCAGGTTTGATCTGGGGCAGAAATAATGCATGTTTTTATCTCTGTTCGAGCAGAGGGGATAAGGCCTTGTTACACATGAGCGAGATATAAGAGATTGTGCCATGGCAAATTAGCTCTTGTTCTGCCAAATGCTATTTCTTCCTAAGCCACACTATGGCTCTGTTGGAAGAAAGTGCCCACGCCAATCATTGCCAGCAAAATTCAAGTGATCTTTCTGCAAAGCTGAACTGTATTTATACAGGCCTTTTTTTACACAATCAAGATTCAAAGATTGTTATCCCAGTGTGGCTGTGGTAAGAGTAAGCCCTGTCTATAGAAATAAGGAATTCCCTGGCAGTTTCACCCTTTCTAAATACATTGGGTCATTCACAGGTCTGTTTCACACCATGTTTTTCCTGTCTCCACCTTAAATATAATAGGTGGCTGTAGCAAATATATATCATGCAGACGTGCTTGTCAGAAAGCCAGGATCTGCTATCTTTGTGGAAGACCTAGGCTTGCTTTGCCTTATGTGGCAAACAGCTCTGTATTTCTCCAGGAAGAAATAGCAGTGCACTTCATAAAATCACTTATACCAAGTTGCAAATAGCTTTTGCCTGCCAAGGAACGATGGCACTATGATGTCTAGAATTCTTGGCTGTCTCTCTGTTTGCTGGCCTTTTAAACCTAGAGAACAGAGAAAACTAGGAGTGCAGCTGTGGTTGGAGAAAAGCAGCACAGAACAACTGGGGCTGCAGGAACTGACTGTAAAAGATAGAATTGTAGCAGCAAGGGTTGAGGAAAGGGCTGTCTCATCTGGCTTCGGTTATTGCCCCTGGTGAGCTGGTGAGAGGTCTGATTACTTAGAAAGTGATCCCACCAAATAAATTACCTCTATCCAAGGAGGTAAGAATTGGACATTTAGGTACAGTGGCAAAAAAGAGTGGGGAAAAAGGTAAATTTTAGATGGTTAAAGGTCTTGGTGCATTAGCAGTGAGGGTGGTGATTTTCACCAAAGTGGTATGTGTGGGCCTATACTCAGCCTTTGATTCAAGTGTCTGCAAAGTCTACATTTCTTTTTAATATGTTTGCTAAAGCATAACAACTGTGATTTGTCATATGTAGGAGAGTCAATGGACTTGTAAATAGGTACTCATTACTTGCACTAGTGATAAGTAACAATAGCTGACCTTGCTGGCCAAGCCCAAAATTGCCAGCCCCCCTCACTGTCATACCTGAGGCAGGAGCACATGCAGTTCAGTGTGTAAAGCTGCCCCGCGTGGCTTCAGACAGCAGCAACCAACTCTTCCTCTGACCTGCCTTTTTTGCTGTAGAGCGACAGGGAGCTGGCATTGGCTCTTCATCTCCAAGGCCCTTTGCCTTGGCTGAACAGGTAAATGCTATTTTTTCTTCTTTAAACAACAACACCATCATCATCATCATCATCAACAACAGATTGTTAGGCCTTGTAGTGAAATACCAT